TAAAATTGGAATATTGAAACTTTTACAATAAGATTTTGGAAATAATTATAAACAGCTTCTCATGGGAAATAGATTCTGTTTTGGTTTTTACAAGACATAATAAAGATAAGCAATTTCATGATTTCAAAAACTGGACTAAAGATTTAGGTAGAGGAAAGATATACAAGCCTGTAAAATGTTGCACAACATTGTAACAATAAAAAGACTACAGGGATCTTTTGAAGAATGGAATCAGAAAATAGTAGCCACAACATCAACAATGTCAGTAATGATGTCTGTGTCTATGGATAGACTATGTCCAAAAGATGTTACTGAAGAAATGACAGATGTAGAACAAATTTTATCTGACAAGATAGAGATGGTATCGAAAGTGGATTTACAACTAATAGCCCAAGAGAATGACTCAGAAAAGGATGTTTTACGGGATCTACAAAAGAAACTGGCTGAGGTTTTAAAATTTAAAAAGGAAATACAAATGACAAATACGGGATCTACAAAAGAAACTGGCTGAGGTTTTAAAATTTAAAAAGGAAATACAAATGACAAATACGGGATCTACAAAAGAAACTGGCTGAGGTTTTAAAATTTAAAAAGGAAATACAAATGACAAACCAAAAGTGTGATGTGGATAATTTTTCCCTGTTGGATTTACAAAAGAGGCTTGTTAAAGCCTTCAAGAACTCTGTGTGATGGGACAAAGAAGAAATGAAGAGAAATCAAATCCTGTGACAATATTTAAATGAACTAAAAATTAAGACTGGTAGAAGTGAAAGAAAGGAATATAAAATTGGCTTATTTGATCAAGGTTAAAATAAGATATGTTGTTACTTCCAGCAACCTTTTATGGACTTTCTGCTGACACCAGGACTGAAAAGATGATGCTTTATGGATTTGTTCATAGATAAGAGATGGGATGAAGAGTAATGTTTGTAACCTTAGAGGGAGTGAAGAGTCTCTAAATTTGTTTATACTTGTGATGAAGGTTGGAAGTCACTTCTTTATATATAGATTTTCCTCTTTCTTTATCATATTCTTACTTCTCTCTTTGTTCTTGCACTATTTACTCTTTCTATTCTCTTTTCTTTAAGTTTAATTTTTATTATATTTTATTATTATATACATAAAAAGAGAAATCAGATCATTTGAATCATCATTAGGTAAAACATGAACGTACTCACCTTCTACCTCAGTTCATAATCTGGCCCAGAGGTTTTGAAAGAAGCTACAAAACACCACAACACAGCTTAATTTTTTCCTTCCATTATTGGAGCTTGTTTTTATCATTGTCCAACTGGCCCTCCTCCTTCTTTTCTAGCAAGAACTCGCAAGATTTTTTATTACAAATATGGATCTCCAAAGGAATGGCTGTTTTTAATCTATATAGCTTAATAGGAAAGTATGCACTAGACAGGGAAACTTCCTTTTAATCAACTGACTGGGGGAAGGGCAAGTTCATTATCAATGGAAATCAGTTAAATTGAAGAGTGTACCACTGCAGCAATTTTCTGTCCTTTATGTAACGAAATTATTTGTATCATTTACATCATATGCATAATGAGATAATTTTGGAATGATGTAATCAACAGAATTTGGTCCCCTACATGTGAAGCGTGCTGAAGTGAGGTCCAATAAATCAAAGTTTCACTCTGTGTATCTGTTAATTTTATTGAGTTAAATTTTCCTGGGGAGGGGAGATAAGCAACTTGGACATGCTAGTTGAAAAGCTGGATAACATTAAATTATGTTAAGTGAATGACACAAAGAACAAGGAGCCTGCCTCTATGCTACTGCCAGTACATTCTGACTGGACTTTTTTAACTTGATTCATACATGAATTTGACATAGGGGTAAGTGGTGTGCTGATTAAATCTGCAGATCATACAAAACTATTCAGGTGGTAAAAAACAACAGTGATCTGTCAAATGGGAAACACTACTGAGATTTTTAAAAAGCAATTAAAATCTGGTTATTTCAGCAGGGCTTTGAGGGAGAAATAAATTGGGAGAGATTGCTCCTGTGAATGAATCTTGATTATCCTGATTTTTATTGTTCCTCTGCATGGGAAGAGGTAGTTACTAACTTTCTTAATGATATATTTATTTGGATGGATATCTTTGATGCTTGAGTCTTGTTTATGTATAGTAGGACTGTAAGCTGTCCACATGAGAAAGCACCCCATAAAATACTAACTTCAGATATCTACTAATGGGATCCAAACTGTTTGAAGAGAGAAGAAATGGGAACATGTAGACTCTGTTTGACAGTGTGAATGGCAAGTTCCATCATCCTAGCAATCACGAAGAAAGAAACTGAAAATACTGAAATGCCTTTATATAAGAACCCTACAGTATGTCCAAATCTGGAATATTGTGTATAGTTCTAGTTGTCACATTTGAAAAAGGATAAAACAGAGCTGGAAAGTGCAGAAGAGGACACCCAAAATGATAAGGGGGCTTGAACACCCTCTCGGAGGGAAAAGTCTACAATGTCTGGGTCTCCTTAACTACTAAGGCTGTTGAGGAGACATAATCAAAATGTATCAAATCAAGGAGGGCATGGAAACAGTGAGGAGGGCAAAGCTCTCTCAAAACACTAAGACTCAGGGTCATCCAATAAAGCTGGCCAGAAAGAGTTTTAGAACAGAGAAAGAAAGAAACTTCTTCATGTAGTACTTCATATGGACTTCATATAATCAACCATAGAATTCATTTCCACAGGACATGGTAATGGCCACCAACTAGGGTGGCTTTAATGGGGGGACTAGATAAATCTATGCAGGGCAGATCCCTCAAGAGTAATCCAAATATCAGTTGTAGGGGAACAATGGCAGGAGAGGGTTACATCTCCATCTCTTTTTGTGAGCACTTGGCGATTACCGAAAAAATGAAAAATGAAGCAAAATGATGGATGAAGACAGACCTTGGCCTGGTCCCAAAGATGGCTGCCACTCCTCTAGAAATTGGAATAGGTCTGGGGCAAGCTTGGAAACTTCTATTCTTGGCAGGCTTTCTTGTTGCTCAGAACTTCACAGGAAAGATTGACAAATGTTGAAAGAGTGCCCCCTTTTTGGCAGTAGCCATCATTCTCCATGGAATCAGCTACCTAACATGGCTCACCAGGTGTGCTTTTAGCTTTAAGGAAAGCAGTAAAAGGAATCTGCTTTTGAAATGGCTGACTGATCAACTCAATTTAGAAATGGCTGCTACTTCTAGCTTTGTTAATTGTTCTTACTCAATGGGTAGCTGATTGTTTCAGCATTGACTTTTTAAACTTTATTTTGGAAGATTTACTGCTTTGAAAGAATGAAACAAACTTAAAGAACTGTTAACAAGCCAATTCCTTTCTGAACTTTACCTTCCACAAGGGCCACTTTCTGGAAGTCTGGACTTGTGGCACTCCGGTTGCTAAGCAGTTCATACTGGAAGCTGGCAGTCTTGCGGCTGATGTCCTTCTGAGGAGTGGCCTGTAAGAAGAGGGCCACTCGCTGAGGGGTGTGGCTGCTAAAGCATGAGACTTGGTGCTGCCGTGACTCTTCAGCCTCGCCCACCAGCAGGCGCAACTGTTCTCCATTCTCCACATAGAGGTTGGCACCTTGAAAATTGTGGGAAGGTTTGATGCAGACAGTGGTGTGTTGGGTACTTGAGAGGTTGGGCTCCAAGATGACACGGAGGGCTCGTGTCGGATACATCCATTCCAGGAAGCCTTCAGTACAGCGGAGGTGGACCTGTTCCACTGCACGGGAATGTGGTTCCCAATTCAAACCACTGAGGAAAAGAAAAGGATGAACCATAATGTAAAATTATGTAAAAAAAGTATGTAAAAAAATTATGTAAAAAAATATGCAAAAAACAACAACAACAACACATAACGTAAAATCTACCTAAAGGGTAGACCAACAGTTTAATCCTATGAGGGTGGCCAGGTTCAGATCACTAAATGAATCATGTTTCTCTAACTTCAAAGAACTCATAATTTCATCCAGGTAATGTTTTCTACCATTAGGAGAGCTGAAGCCATTACATTCTTGAATGGCCACCTCAAAGGAGAGATTGGGCAAACTTGGTTCACACTGATCCTTACATGTCACCCGGTGTAGAGAATCATGGAGGTGACCTTGACAGAAATAGGCAAGGACCACTACATAAGCAAAGAGGGCCAAAATATTCCTTAAGTCTTGGGAAACAAAGCGATATTCAGAAGTGGCTCAGGCAAATGTCTTCCTGATTCACTGGAATAAAAGAAGCAGGGGAGGTAGAGCTCAGTCAGACTTGCAAGATTTTGTTACTGTAGTCAATCTCAGTAAAGCATAGTACTGGTCTTCCTGTGGAATTGATTTTCTGGTCTGATCTACCTAGAGGAGCTAGCACCCAGGAACTGTGAATGACTTCCTCTATCCTGAATCCTGTACCACAAAGTATTTTTGAAATTCCACCAAACTGCAAAAGTGCTCCGCTATCTAATAAAGGGCAGTGGGACAGATAGAGCAGGCTGCCACCTGAGACAGTAAAATTCAAAGTTCTTTTGGTATTTACTTAGCTGTATAGTTCTCTGGGTGGGGATTCTGATCTCTTACAAAAAGGGTTGCCCACATTCTTTTTCATACATATTTGCATTTAAGATAGCTACAGGAGAGATCAAGCCAAAGACCTTCAAATTCCCCTCCTTAGCTCTGAAAAAAAAATCAGATACCACTGGTATATCCATACTCTTTTCCAACCTGGAATCCTCCAGATCTCTCAGACTACAACTTCCCAGAATGGCATCCAACATTGCTGGCTAGGAATTCTCAGAGTTGTAGTACCTGGCTGGGGAAGCTGATATATCACACCCCTACCCGCCCCCCCAAAAAAATTCCTGGGACAGGGTGACTCAAAGGCAGACAATCAAAATTGCCTCCAAATAAAGTGGAGCTAAAATCAGTATGGAATAGCAGGTCTGACACAGACTTTTTAATTGTCTCTGATTTCTTATCAGTGTCAGATTCAAAATGACCAAGGAGTTTTGGGTAAAGCTAAGATACCGAATAATAATGATATATCAGAATTCAGCTTATAGGTGAAATATCAAACTGCTCATGCCTTCAGGCTTCAGAATTCAGCCCCGACCATGGCCATATTTATAATTAATGCATTCATCATGGTGTTTCATATAAATGACATTTAACATATAAATATTTATATGGATTTGATTACATCAAATTAAATGGGTTTATAAAAAATAAATATGCATGTTTAATTAGCACGCCACAGGCATGGTGCAGTAAAGTCTTTTAAAATCCCACTTATTGCAATGGGTGATGTTCTCATTGCAATCAATGAAAAGTAAAAGTATTTTTGGTAGCAGGGTGTGTGCTGTTAGTTTTGAAGTATCACTTTGAACGATATATGAATTAATTTAGCTGCAATTATTTATTAAATAATGACATGAATTAGGATAAAATCCAGCAATGTTAAGCAAGCATCAATTTCAGCTGGACAGTTCTTCTCTTTTACGTTCTGAGAGAGCTTAATCTTGCTAGAGGCTATTTTTAATTTTTATCATTTAATGACCGCAGGACGCCAAGAATTCGAAGGTGCAGGACTCCTGCTTGCCACAACTAATTTTAGGACAATAACCGCAATCCGCTATCAGATTACATTAATGGAATTTTCTGAGGTTCTAAATTCTGCGCAGTTGAGAGTTCGAGCAAGACAAGTCCAGATTCGATCGAACACGTACAGCCCACTACGCTTCGATTTTAAACTGGACTTCACTTCCCCGCGCCAGCCGTCGGAGGCGACAGCAATGCGCGACGGTCCCTCAGACGCATTGGCTCGCTGTCCCTCTTGCTTGGCGATCTCGCCCCCTCTCCGCCCACCTCCGCTTACCTGCCCTTCCAGCTGCAGTGGTCGCCCGCGCACGGCTGCAGCACCAGCAGGAGCAGCAGCGGCGGCGACAGAGGGAGCACAGAGCGCCTGCTCCAGACCTTCCCCCCCGGGCCATAAGGCCGCTTGAGCAGCCTCGGCCGGAGAGCCAGTGTGGAGCGCGCGCCCGCACACTCTACCAGCTGCGGGACGCGTAGAGGAGCGGCCGGCCCGCGCTTTCGGTTTTGGAGGGGGGGAGGGGGAGAGCAATGGAGAAGGTGGGGTGGCCGTCGCCTCAGGAGCAGGAGAACGGAATGAAAGAGGCAGCTTTCTCGTCCCGCTCTCCCGCCCCCGGTCTAATCTGCGGTTGATTGGACAGCTGCCCCTTCTTTTCTCGAAGCTCCAGAGATAGCTGACTCTCGCAACAGAACAACGGGCAAGAGAACCTCTTCTCTTCCACATTGCTTAATTCAAAATTACTCCCTTTATAGTTTAATGTTTAAGTTTAGGTTAGACCGATCTCCACTGGCCGACTGTGGTGTTGAAATGATATTTCTAGCTCTGTGAAGACGCTGTTGTATCAGGCTGCAAAAGAAGGACTGAGGAAAAGCAGGGCCGCCCTGAGTTCTACTAGAAGCAGAGTTTAATTAGTTTCATTAGCCTTAACCTCTTCCATCTGTTGCCAAAGAACAGCAGCAGTGCAGGAAGGAGGATTGTTTCCCAGGGCTGTTATGCAGATTAAGGAAAGAACAGATATGAGTTGAAAAGCCTATTTTATTTAGCAATATTGGTCTGCACATGTTGCATGCATATTATTTCTGGTGTTGATTTTATAATTGATAGATGGACTGTTGGCTGTTTCTTTTTAACAACTGACTGATTATGTGCTATCAAATCAGGGTTGATTTTTAGTGACCACATAGACTTTATTCGGGATGATTTATCCCAAACCTAGCCCTTCAGGTCCTCCAATGGTGCATCCATCGATGACTATAATCAAGTCATTCCACCTTGCTGCTGGTCATCTTTTTCTCTTTCCTTCCACTTTTCCTAGCATTGTGGACTTTTCATGGGAGCCGCACCTTTGCATAATGTGTCAAAAATATGACATTTGAGGTAGGTTGTTTATGCCTTGAAATTTGTTCTGCCATCCATTTGTTTGTTTTCTTGGCTATCCCTGGTATTCTCAGGAATCTTCTCCACCTCCAAAGTTGAAATGTGTCTATAGGCTTTCCATCCTGTTTTTTCAAAGTCCAACTTTCACTTCTATAGAGTGTTACAGGGAAAACTATTGCCTGCACAATTCTGATCTTCATAGATATAGACACATCTGAATATCCTTTCCGTGGCCTTTGTTGCTACTATGCCAAGTGCTAGTATCACTGGTTCCTTTACTGTTGATAGTCTATCCTAAAAGGCAGAAGTTATCCACCACTTTAATATCTACATTGCCAATTCTAAGACTTTTTACTGTACCTGTCATCATTGGTTTGACTTTTCTTATATTTAATCTGTCTCATTTTTTTTACTGTGTTCCTTGAATTTCATTACTAGACCTTGCAGATCATTTATGTTTTCAGCTATCAGAGTAGTGTCATCAGCATACTGCAGATTATTGATGCTTCTTTCTCTAGTTTGAAAACTATGATTATCATTGTCCAACCCAGCCTCTCTCAATATATATTCAACATGTGGGTTGAATAAATAAGGAGAGAGTATATGCCCTTGCCCTATTCCTTTGCCAACCTGGAGCTAGTCCATTTCACCATGTTCCGTTCAGACTGTGGTTTCTTGTCTGTGTAGAGGTTTTACATGAGGACCATGAGATGTTCTAGGATTCCCATTTTCCTAAGGACATGCCACAGTTTGACATGATCAATACAATTAAAGGCCTTTGTATAATCAATGAAGCACATACTGACTTCATTTTGGTATTATTTGGCTTTCTCAATTATCCAGCATGCATCACCAATAATGTTTCTTGTTCCTTAGCCTTTTCTCAAACCAACTTGAACATCTGGCATTGCACTTTCCATATAGGGCTGTAATCTGCATTGGATAAGCCTATGCATTATTTTGTTAGTTTGGAAATTAAGGATATTGTATGATAGTTTGCACACACTGTTAAGTCTCCTTTGTTATTAATAATGTAGATTGACCTCTTCCAATCTATTGGCCACTGTGTCATTCTCCAGATTTGTTGGCATAGTTTGATTAGACTACTAATTCTTTTTCTGTTGTTTGCCATATTTCTGTAGATATTCCATCAATTCCTGTAGCCTTCAGAGTTGGCAATGACCAGAGTGCTGATCCAACTTCATTTTCCATATCCAGTCTTGTATATAGGGAATATCTAGTAAAGTTTCTGGAATGTTGGCATCTCTACCCTAAAGAATTTCAGTATATTCCTTCCATCTTTGCTTCATCTTCTTTGAATCAGTTATTATCTCTCTATTGGTGTCCTGATGTAAGATGGACAGCATATAAAGTGTTTAAATGTAAAAAAAAAATGTTCTGGCTTTGGGCTATTGATTCTGGACTGATTGCAGACCATTGCTGCCAATTATCATTCCACCTTTTGGAACATCGAGAGAATCAGGAAATGCTGTTACTCACATCATCTCCTTGTGAGTGCTTTTCAGGTGATACTATGGTGAAGATCAGCAGGCCAATCATCCCCATTAATTAATTGCTGAGAAACCAAGACACCTATAATTGCATTTTTAGATGTTTTATGTTCTGAAAAGCTGCACTAAGAATTCATTATGATCTGAAAAGGAGGAAAATAAAACTGATATTTTAAAAATATGATGCTGCTGACCTCTGCTGTGTCATGATGATGAATGGAGAGACCATCCAAAGGGCACCCTTCATTGGAATCCAGGCTGCTCTACAAGCCCTGCTCCCCACATTTCTGGCTCTGGATGATGGCTAGTAAACCTTCTTTTGCCTCAAGATTTTGAAAAATCTTAAAGTGATTAATAACAGCTTCTTACTGCACTTTAAAAGCCAACAAAATAGAATCTTGTCAGTGTAATCAAAGCAACCATTGAATGATTGATGGAGATTCAATGGCTTTAACTTTTGCTTTCAGGATCATCTTTCAGGGTTACATGCAAACAAAGCATTGGGTGTCCTTGTGATTATCATGCAAAAGACTCACTTTCCGCTTGCCAATAATTAGATTTCTGTATACATTGGCCTGCCTCAGCTTTAATGAGAGATATGGAGAGTTGCTCTTTTGCAGGTCTGAAGGAGCAAAGTTTCTTTGTGGCCTCCCGAAAGGGTGAAATTGGGATTTTGCACTTGGAGGCCAACAACAGCTCTGTGCACTGTTGGGTGGCACATGGTCAACTCTCTGTACTATTTTTCACCCCACAGAGTTCAGGGGCAGCGGGCTTTAAGGCCATCTGTTACCTTGTGGCCAGTAGAATGTTCTCGCCTTCTCCACAGCTGCACTGAGTGGTGGGAGTGGCAGCTCAGAGCAGAGACACTTCAGCTCCCAGGGTGTCATTTGGCAGTCTACTGTCATGCTTTTGCCACTAAAAAGAGCTGTACTTAAGATCAACCATATAAAATAGTGTGAATCAAAGCTTATTTTTTTCATATCATGTTACAAAACAACTGTCTTCAGACATAAGTATATAGTGGACTGCAAGCATTCGGGTTATTGGACAGCTTGTCTGAGGTAATACTAAAATAAAAAAGCAAAATAAATGGAAAATCAGAAAAGGAAAATAAACACACAGTAGCCAGCAATGTGAGGGAAAACGTCTTGGACATTAAATGACTGTTTTTTGGAATTATTTTCTGAAATATTGGCAATCCACAGGTTCCTAAGCCAAATCAGGTTCTGATTTAGGGCCTTTCTTTCACTGCTGGATTGGTGCTCTCCATCATGCTGTTCCTGTTCACTTACCAACCTGCAGTCCTATTATTTTGGAAGTTTCAAATGGTGCCATCTGAGATAGGATGCTCCTGAGAATGTACGTGCCTTTTCGTGAGCAAAGCTATAAGGAAGAAGTGTTTCTGAGTGTTTTTGGGCTTCTGTACCTTTCATTTCCAGCAGAAAACTGTTTTGTAAAACTTCTGAGCTTTGTAAACACTTCTGAAATGTTTCTTGAGGATCCGCAACTAAATCTTACAGCAGAAAAAATTGTTTCAGCCAAAGAATAAATATCAAATGTAGTGCAAAACAAAAGAGCCAATATAGAAATACCCATGTGGTCATGTGAAAACAGATGTTTAACTTCTTTTATAACAGATGCAGGAAGGATATAGAAAAACAAAAATCACCTTGAATGACAACACAAATGTACTAACTCCTGGAAGATACAGTACCATGCAAAAGTTTTAGGCAGGTGTGAAAAAATGCTGTAAAGTAAGAATGCTTTCAAAAATAT